CTTGCCACAGAAAGAATTTGGTTTCTCCCTCATGATTACTATACTGTATGCCACTACCTCGGCATTGTCCAGCTAGATCCTGATTGGCTAATCTTCCAGTTGAGTCATTCAGCCATGCAGGGACAACCAAATCTCTCACAGATTTAAAATGGTAATCGTGAGACAATATTCCTCTTACAACCAAACTCTCTGTGCTGATAAGGTGTCTAGGACTCCTCCCAGGCCAATGTATAGGAATTTTATTAATTTTTATTAGTCTAGGACTCCTCCCGAGCTGGTCAGGGTAGTATACACTGTGAGTATCTTCCAAGATAGTGGGAGGAATGATTTTTCTAACTCCAGAGCTAGATTCCTAGATGACAAGGCCAGAGATGATCTTCAGTGTCAGGTGTATTGATTTGTTCAGAGATTGCATATTCTTGTCCTGCACTGACAGAAAGTGGAGTTGTAGAGGTCTGGAGTGGAACTGAGCAAATAGAACTGCCTTGCCCAGAACTCTCATGAACTCTCATGAAGAATTGCTGAGCTGGACAACTCCTGGACTGTAGAATCCAATTTTGTAAGTAGAAAGTCAGAAATTTTTCCTAGGGAAGGAAAACTCTGGTTTGGGCTGTGTCTAGAACAGGATCAAGATAATCCAACAAAGTGTCAGGTCAAGTGCTGATTTTCTGAAGGTTCAGAGTCCAACCGAATGAGGTCTGGACTGTACACATCATATTGACAACCAGAGTTTGCAGCTGACTTATCACAACAGGAGATCATTAAAGTTTCCCACAACATGAATACCTGGAGTTGAGCAAAGCTAGCGCTGAGGCCACAACCTTTGTGAACAGTCAAGGTGTGGATGAAAGCCCAAATGGTAGGGCTACAAACTGGTAGTGCTGATGCACTGGAAAAACAGGGACAAATATACATCCTTGATGTCCATCAAGGCTAGGAAGTCTCACTGCTGGAGGGAGGCTATGATAGACCAATGGTACAATTGCAATAACTCCTTGTTTCAAAAATCTGAAAATGCAGAATGGAGGCCTGTTACCTGTTGCAGAGAGACATAGGTAAGTTGGAAAACATGAAGCAAGTGGAAGAAAGAGGAACCCTAGCTTATAACCCCTGGATACCAATTACTCAGGCATTGGAGATGCTTTCTGGCCAGGTGTCCACAAAGGCCAAGACATCCCCCCACTTTGATAAGTGTGTGCCATCATGATGAAGAGGTCTGCAGTCTTGTAGGCGTTAGAGGCCTAAGCTTGTGGTGGTACTTGGCACTTACCGGAGGCTTGGTTTTGGAGCAAGAAGTTTGGGAAGAACTCTCTATGGGTCACAGTCTGGGAAAGGTTTCTCAGATTGAGGCTTAGGCTTCTTCCCCTTGGCTAAATGAGTATTTTAACTACCGGTAATGTCCTTTTTGAAACTGTCCAGGGAAGCACCAAAATGTCATTCACCATCAAAGGGCATGCACAGTAAGCATTTCCTACATTGCCGTTCTGCAGACCAACATTTTAGCCACACTGTCCTAAGGTCTGAGAGGCCAACATTACAGCTATAGCAGATTTCATAGAAGGGCCTGCTACCAAAAATAAGGCTTTGGAAAGTGCTTCTAAACATTTATCAATTGAATACCTAAAACACTGGAGTATCCTCAATAGGTACAATCAGTGTTTTGTTAAGGTGGAATAGTGTCAAATCCAGAGTGGGGACAGCCCACTTTTTTATTTTAAAGAAAATCCTTATAAAATGGATATTGATCTGAAAATTGTTTGGGAGAGTAAATAACTTGTCAGAAGTGTCCCAGTCTCTGTAAAAAACAGATTGAAGTAATCTGCATCTGGAAAGTTGACAGTCTAAAGTACTATTAAGGATCCCAGACTGATAAGAGCATTAGTAGAAGTTACATGCTGCTCTATTTTAAATGTGACTTGCAAAGGATCAATAGAAGTGTGGCGATGGCATCCTTTAGGAGCTAATTTAGCAGACTGAGGCTCCACAGGAACAATGTCATCCATTATGGATTTGTAAGACTCTCTTTCAGACAGTACATCTGCAACATCAATCATTTTTGTAAGCTGGCCCATAAAATCTAGCATAACTGCAGAGAATTTTTCTTTGGGTAAAACGGAAGAGGCACACTTGACAGAGATTGCAGAGACTTTGAGGATTGAGTTAACTTTAGTAGAGAACAACAATTCAGCCTTTTGGCATCAGGCCCATTAAGAGGGACACTGCAGGGCACCCTGGAATGGTTTGTGTATCATGACCTGGGGAGCCCCCCAGGACCGCTGCCCTTGTGCTTGGGATCTGACATGTTGTACTGTGTCGACTACAAATAGAAAACACCAGGTAAAAACCTTGGTTTACTCACAACCAACTGCTAACACAAAGAATGTTAAGGGCCAGAAATAACCAGGTAACAGTAGACATGTGCAAGGACTAATAGGGGTGTGCACCGCATCTCTCTTGTGGGGGGGGGGGGGGGGGGGGCAAGAGAGAAGAAGCTACTGCATGCCAAAGGAAAAAGAGCAGGTACAGAATGGTGAGTGCACGCATGTGACACTCAACTAATGAGGCAGCATGGAATTCCTTGGCATGTTAACCCTTTCCATCAAACTAACACAATAGAGAAGTAATGGTGGTGTTTAATGTCACCAACAATACATAGATCTTGCTGCTTAGCCCAAATGGTGTACTTATTAAGAGTCCTCAGAGACTGCGCCACAGCTCTGAACCTGTACAGCAATGTACCTGAGAAGTGCCACTGGCAGAGCCCCACTTCCCTAAAACGACACATTGAATGTAGGCATTGCAACATTTGGTCCAATGAAATCCATTCTCCAAAGTATCGCTGAAGATTAGCAATTCTGGATATCTGCATATAGGTCCCAGCTCAGCAGCATGTAAATATCTTGACTGAAAGAAAAAAACCGATATGGCTAGTAAAAATTTCTTAATACAGTAAAGATGGCCATCCCCCTAGGACACTAATAAACTGAAGCATGCTGGAAGTGCGAGCTGTTATACCTGGCTGGCCAACGGCTCTTTCATTTGCCAGGGTATAACCGTATTGGCTTAGATTAACCTAATTCTGTGTCCCTTAATGACTTAATGAACAATAAAGCTTTTTTTTTTTTAAATGGATAGTATGTGGATAGAATATCAAACTAGCCAGGTTTTTATTGCCATGTCCTCACTAGGGAGAGTCACCACCTTGATTTGCTCAAGGGAATGTTGTCACCAAGACTGAAAGTGGAGGTTAAATCCAGACTTTTGGGGGTTTATTTACTAAACCTGGAGAGTGCAGAGTCAGGCTCACTTCTGCACAGAAACCAATCAGCTTCCAGGTTTTATTGCCAAAGCTTAATTGAACAAGCTGAGGTTAGAAGCTGATTGGTTTCTATACAAAAGTGAGCCTGACTTTGCACTCTCCAGTTTTAGTAAATAAACCCCTTGTTGTCACTGGAACAGGATGCTATCCAAAAGAAAAATGTTTTGGCTCAAGGCAGCTTTAGATAAAGGTTGATTTACTAGATCTGGAGGGTGCACAATCTGGTGCAGCTCTGCATAGAAACCAATCAGCTTCCAGGTTTTATTGTTAAAGCTTAATTGAACAAACTGAAGTTAGAAGCTGATTGGCCCCATGCACAGCTGCACCAGATTCTGAGTGCACCAGTTTCAGTAAATGAACCTCAATATGTAAATCAACCCCAATATGTTGGTCTGTAGCTGCTGCTGACTGTAGGATCCAGAATAACCTTCAGGAAATTACTTGAACGCTGTGCTACCAAGTGTCCTCAACAAAGGCCATTGATGATCAAATGTATTTGGGACAGGTGATCTCTCCCTCCCTCTTTTGGCTTCCCCAAGAACTACTGAAGTTTGATTTCCTGATATTTGAAATTTGACTGACATACTGTATCCATACATGACTGACAATTATTTGTAACGGTTTTATTTTTTGAGTAGAGGGATTTTGTATAATGTAACAATTTTTAAATAATTCTTGATAGGAAGCCAAGAAGGTACCACATTCTACTGCTTTTTATCTTTTTTTATGTCTAAAATCTTCAATAAATGGAGCTGTCCTGAAAGATGATTGGAGAAAACTTACTGGAATGTGTTTAGGGGCTTATCGGAGGTAAACACACACACACATTTATTTTATAACAATATATCAATTCCAATCTGGTTCTCAGACAAAGAATTGGTGACCATGTTAGTGAATCTACCATGCTGGGCATTTCATTTCATGTAAATATTCAACATTACCAAGAGAAATGATTTCAGTTAAAAATTTAACCAAATGTTCCTGACTTGGACTTCAATATATAATATAAATAGTATGAAGGCAAGGACACAACCAAATAACAGACAGCAGCACAGGTCAGGTTAAAGCACTGCTTCTAAAACCTGTTCTCAGTGTCTACAGAACTGGAAGACAAAGTAAATTCTAAACATATTTTAAATTTAAAAAAAAAAAAAAAAAAAAAAGGTTAACTAAAACCAAAACTTTTCTTTTCACTTTGGATAGAGTAGGGAATGGAGAAAAACCCTGCCAGTTTTTCTTTTTATCTGGGAAAAATTACCTTGATTCTCTGTTCTGTAGCCTCAACAAGAAGTGAGAGAAAATCTCAGCAAAGTGGGGAAAATGTTCTCACCTGAACAATTCTTTGTAATTTTGATTTCTTCCTCACCTTTAGATTGATGGGCAGTGTTCACCAGGACAAATCAAGAAGGTGTATCTCTCCATCAGGGGCACAGATCACAATAAAACCCTGATAGTGGTTCTAACCCCCTCACTGCTCTATCCAAAACTAAAAAAAGTTTTTGTTTCAGATACACTTTAATCACTAGCCTACAGGGCACTTATACCCCCTTCCTGCCCAGGCCAATTTCCAGCTTTCAGCGCTGTTGCACTTTGAATGACAATTGCGTGGTCATGCAACACTGTACCCATATTAAATTTTTATAATTTTTTTGTGACAGATAGAGCTTTAGTTTGGTGGTATTTAACCACCTCTGGGGTTTTTTTATTTCTTCTTAAACAAACCAAAAACCACTGAAAATTTTGAGAAAAAAAAAAGTTTTAGTTTTTGTTATATAATTTTGTAAAGAAGTGATTTTTCTCCTTCACTGATGTGCACTAATGAGGCTGCAGTGATGGGCACTGATAGGCAGCACTTATGGACACTGATGAGGCACTGGTAGGTGGCACTGATGGTCATTGACAGGCATCACTGATGGGCACTGAAAGGCAGCACTCATATATGGCACTGATAGGCGGCACTGTTAGGCAGCACTGATGCACACTGATAGGCAGCACTGACTGGCAGCTCAGATGGGCACTGGCAGGTGGCATGGATGAGCACTGAGAGCTGGCACTGATGGACACTGACAAGTGGTGCTGCTGGGGCTACACAGATCATCAGTGCTCCGCCAATCGCTGCGCGCTCTGGGAGCCACGCATGCGCGGTTAGAATGGGAGGACGTCATATGACGTCCTCCCAGAACGAGAGAACCACCTTGCGTCCATCATATTACTATATGGCGGGCGGGAGGTGGTTAAAGGCTAGCAGATAATATCCACAGAACCCCAGGGAGGAAGACACCTGCATGCACTCTGTAGTGTCAAGAGCTGCAACTGTTTCTTGTGATGTTGGTCATTCAAGGAGAAGAGTGGATTAGCCAAGATGCGTATACAGATTCCAACAAGCTGGACAATCTCTAAGTGATATTGAGCTGCACTGATAGATGGGAACCATTGTTACTGAATCTGAGTGTAGCCCAACACTCACCTTGACCCCATTTTGCCCTAAATTGACACTATTTATGGTCACCCTTTCTTGCTAGAAATGAATACATAAATCTGACTCTGACTTGAGATATTTTACCTACTATAGCTGAAACGTTTAGGACAGTACTCGTCTCTCCCCCATCTGTTACTAATATCCAAAAGACTGCAGCCCTAATATAAAGTCACTGTCTCATACTGCATGGCCTACCCAGGCATGGAAATGATATAAAAATTGAAATATTATTAAATCTTAAAAGTGTTGTTTATACAATGAACTCCAGTCAAAGTGTTTATTTTACCATGTAGTGAGGCTGTGCCTGCACTGCATGGGTTAACTGCTCGTTTTGTCCAGGGGCTCAGGGAAAAGCTATACTTACCCCGTCCTCCGAAAAGAAAAAAAAAAAAAAAAAAAAAAAAAAAACACACTCTCCTATGTCCAGCGCTGGACTGTTCCTGCCTTTTCCATGTCTGGAGCTGGTCTATGGGCGTGATGACGTCAGAAACAGCCCATTCACAAGATTGCTAGTGTGTGGGGAGCAGGATTGGCAGATTAGGCAAGTATATCTCCGCTCTCCACACCCCTAGACAAAAACGAACATTTAACTCACGCAGTGCAGGCACAGCTCCACTGCATGGGAAAATAACATTTTTGCCTGGAAGTCTTCTTTAAGTTTCAACACTAAAGGTAAATTTTACATGATCGTTCAACTAAAACCCTAACCACATTGGTGGTACACAGAAGCACAGTTTAGGAAATTTTGATTCAACCTTTTGTTCATTGCTGGGCGCTGAGATGAGGCCTACGTTAGGCATGTCTGCCCAGTTCATACCCTTGTAGACTTAAATTCAAGCCAGCACAGTGATTTTTCAGAAGTTGGATTTTTTTTGACCATGGGGAACATGGAGGCAATTTAATATCCAGTTACTGAGCAATTTTTACTGCTTGTTAACCACACCATTAACTACACAAAAAAAGGCTAAAAAAAAAAAAAAAAAAAAAAAAAAAAAAAAGGTGTTTGCCAGCATGCGGTTAAAGCAGCCCTGCAGAAGACGGGATCGAATAATCCCCTTTCCAGCAGGCAGGAAGTCAAATCCTTTTGCTCTTACAGAGACAGACACTGCCATTATCCAACAAACCACACCTGAGTGCGTTCAATATCTGGTTTCCTTGCTGGGTGTTGTGGTTCATTTTGCTAGACACATCACTACAGTGCATGGTAGAAATTTAGCAGATGATGGGAGGAACCAAAAGGGGGCTATCAGGGGACCCAGTAACCAACATACCTGGAAGTGTCAGATGCCAGGGGTGCCCTTAGCCTTTCAAAAAGGAACAAAGTTTTGGCTCACAGTCTGCTGGAAAGGTAATGAATTTCTCTTACAGGGAGCTTGTGTTTTAATTTTCTTACTGTGGCAACAAGGTCACTTTAAATTACTCATTAGCATGACATTAAAATTACCCATGCAGTTTAGTCTTTAGTTAGGGTACGGAGTAATGTGCAAAAAGTGCAGCAATTTAAAGCAACCTTAGTTCAGTCAGATCAGCAATTTTTGCACTTTGCCTTACAGTAAGCTCCCCAAATATGAACATTTGACTTGCAAACTTTCAAAAGATGCAAACATGTCCGCATGTCCAATCCTGTAAAGCTGGGTACACACACACAGTTTTTTTTTTTCGTTCAACCCAGCATGCTGAACAAAAAAACAAAAAAAACCCCCCCCCCCCAAAAAAACTGAGACCACCGTACCAATACAAGCAATGTTGGTGCAGCGATCTGCCCCGCTGTACCTTTGTGTTCATAACACACTAATCAGCGATCTCAGCCTTTGCCTGCAATCGCTGACCTTTGCTGGACATACGAGCAAGTTGTACCTAAGAACAAGCTCCTGGAACAGAATTGTTCATAAGTAGGTGACTTACTGTATTAAATAATCCATAATTGCTGGCAAAAAGATGCTTCAATGTTAGAGACAGTAATGAGAGGAGAAAGTTCAATGATACTGAAGAACAGCAGACAATTCAGATGGTTACAGCCATTTTTATGTCACAAACTGTCAGGGAATTCAGTTTTAGTAATGAAAATAAAAAACCTCTTCATCCTACGGCACACGCATGGCATGGTAAATTGCCTTTTTTTTTTATTTAAATTAAAAGCCTCGTGAAAGCTAACATTGTAAATACAACATGTGTCGTACACTCTGTACAGCGAGAAAGGAACAATAATTTGTATGGTGCAGATGGCCAGTAGGAACAAGTCCTGAACTGGCACCTGGCAGCATGGATGTGAGTGCAGCACAGCCGCGTCCCTAAGACAGCGTGAAAAGCATATTAGCGGAAGTATAATTAAGCTTGTATGCTCAGGGTTACTGGAAGAGGGGAGGTAATAAGGCACCTTCCTGCAGGGGGTTAATGGGGGGATGAGCAGTATAAAAGTGGGAATGTTCTGGTCCAGCCAACAAAGTGGCATCAGGTAACACACCCTCTCCCTTCACGCCTATCAGCATATGATGTGCTGGTAAATACATTACCCTTACATTTTACCAGGTAGAAAGTGCCTTTATAGTCACACAGCCACACTTTGTTCCCAGCAGGAAACTCTGTATGACTGTCAAATGCTCTAGCACACTTCAGCAATATATAGGCTGCTACAGAGTTGTATTTGTTACTACCAGGAATTTCAGGCTAGGATTCCACATAAGAAACAATGCTACTATTCTGTGGCCCCTGCATATCTCGATGGGGTTCCCAGCTGGAGCACAATAGCATCGTGTTTTCGGGGTCCTACATAGTTAGGGTGCGTTTTCCACTAAGCCTCACAGCTTCTTTGGCACAAGGTGTGTCTTGAAGTGCTTGCTGACGTGGTCGCTGCGAGTAAACCTCTTCTGACAATGAGGACATTCGAAGCGCTTGTCACCTGTACAGGGACAGCAGAGTAAAAATCAATACATGTCATACCTGAGGGCCAGTTCGTCTTACATGTGCATTTTGTGCGTTCATGTCTCACACACACCTGTGTGCGTGCGTGCGTGCCTCTGCAGCTCGTCGCTGCGGGTGAACCTCTTTGTGCAGAATCCCCAGTTGCACACAAATGGCCTCTCCCCTGTGTGAAGACGGACATGGGCTCTCAAGAGTGATGTCTTGCGAAACGTTCTGCCGCACTCAGGAATGTGACACACGTGCCTCTTTCTGCCAGGAGGTCCCCACCTGCTGAGAGTGACAGTGTCTCTCCTCAGCCCAAAACATCTGCCCCTTTCCTCAACCCTCCCCCACCCAGGCCCAGCACTTTATCAGCCCTGCATCCTGCCCACTCTCACCCCTTCTCCCCGTCCTTGCAGTTCGGACATGTACAGGCAACCCTCCTCCTCTTCACTCCCGGCTGAATTTCCCCAGACAAGGCCTGTTCCATTTGCAGCTGTATCTGGGTAGGGCTGAGACCACTGATGGCCACGTTATTACTGGACACATTCTGGACACTGAGCTGTGGTTGCCCTAAGTAGACACACAAACACAGGAGTGGGTTGGTTTATATAACAAAGAGAAGAAAAGCAAATTAAATGAATCTTAAATTTAGGTTTTATTTGCCTAACTGTACAATTCTTATGTCATGTTACATAATCATACTGGGATATACACCTGCAGCATTGGTGATGGTAACAGGCACCCCTTGCACTGAGACTCCATTGATGCTAATAGTTTGTATTGCCTGGGCAGTGGCTGCGAGCTGTGCTGTATTCAGATTAATAACACTCCCTGCTGGACTATTTTTGGTAAAGACCGTTCTTTGCGACTGATGTTCTTCTTAACAGGTATGGCAGATTGTGCTGCAAGGGTACTGGTCCCTCCTGAAGCTCTGGGCTGAGGCATAGAGGGAACATCTTGTGTTACCAATGGCTGCAGTTCACCGGTAGATGTGCGGAAGTATATCTGTTAAAAGAGAAGAGCATGTGACGTAATGAAAATGTATCACAAAACTAGGGACACACAAGAAATATACATGATACAGAAAAAAAAAAAAAAAAAATAGAACCCTCTGACGATGATATGAAGGCAGAGAAAATTAAAGTATGCAGGTTTGCATGATCAGAAAAACAAACATTCAAATGGTCCGTTTAGCCTGGGTTCACATACGTACAGCTCCGTATATCGCATATGATTCGCACAGGAACCGCACCGCATTCCTGTGCAAATCACATGCGATTTGTGTGCGGTGCGATCAGAGGCATACATTTTGTATGGCTCTATTTGCACTGCATCTGCACCAAAAACTGCAGTACCCTTTTTTCACGGAGTTCATGCTGTCAAAAAATAGATGTCACCAGCTACAAAAGCTGTAGCTGCTATTAAAAAGCACACACTCACCTATCCCCCGGTGTGTCCCCTGCAGCCCGTTTTACCGGCCGTCTTCTCTCCCTGGGCGCCAGCATCTTCAGTGTGGGCACAAGCTGTCACAGCCGAATACCTACTGCGCATGTGCGAGTAGTGCTGCGCTTCCTGAATGGTCCTGTAGTCCTCTGGGACCTGTCACGTGTCCCAAAAGACTACGGGGAAGGAGGAAGGGAGGACACCTTCCACTTTCGATCGCCTTGGAGCAGAAGTGAGAACGGATACCTGTCAAATTCAGGTACCCGCTCTCCCCCCCGCCCCCCAAAGGTGCCAATCCTTAATAGGGATTGGGGGACAAGTCTTTAAAGCGGAACGTCCCCTTTTGGGTGGAGCTCCACTTTAACATACACACCCGCTGTGGTTTGCATGAACAGGGTGTGAGTCGGATGCAGCACCGAATTCGCACTGAAGACGCTGCGAATCCCGCACCGCATCAGTGTGAACCAGGGCTCAACAGAACAGAAAAATTGCATGCAAGATGATCAGCAGACGCAGACATAGGCAGCAAAAATCAAATGCAAACCTCAACCTTAGATTCTTTGTTTGCACCTCTCATTGGTCAATGAAGCCATCCATTATTATCCAGTATGAATACCCCGTAAGTGTTTGACTTTTCTGTCTAAAAATTAAATACTCCATATTTGCACCTGCTGGTGTAATTTGGTATCGCAGTTTTTCCAAGCAGTACAGTTTCCACGTATATTTAATGAAGAAAATGTTAAATCTTTTTCTTAAAGTCTACGAAGGGACACAATAGTAATCATTCTTAGACACGTTAGTTGTTCTGCTTTGGACGCTAGCAACAAAAACATGAATCCAGCCCTTCTAAAACCACGCCTCCAACCATCATGCCTCGGTTTAGTGAACAAGCAGTAAATAAGGCTCAAGTATACAGGGGTAGGACCTTAATTGACATCAAGGAAAAGTTTTAAAGTTAAAGTGGAATTCCAGATCAAGACTGTTTTTTTTTTTTTTTTTTCTTTTTTAAATGAAAAAGACTGAAAATTTTGAAAAAAAATTTTTTTTTATACTTTGTTAAAAAAACAAAATCGAATAAAAATGTCTTCATAAAATTTAGGCCAAAAGGTATTCTGCTAAAGGTCTCAATAAGTGTATAATATTTGGTTTGTGTGGAAGGTTACAGCATCTACAGACTATGGTATATATTTGAAAATTGGTCAGTCCTGATGTATTGATGGTCTATCTCATTTCTTAGAACCCCCCTAAAATTGTCAGGGCAGTACAAATGCCCCCAAATTACCACTTTTTAGAGAGTGGACAGTCTGAGGTATTTAGTAAGAGGCATGGCACGTTTTTTGAAGTTGTCATTTTTTGTCACTGTACTATTCTGGAGGGGGGGGGCGGGGTGAACAGGGTTTTTTTGAAGAATGGGCGAAGATACGAGTAGAGTCGCTGCAAAGACACTTGTGTTCAAGCAATGGCTCAGCGTTTAAAAGCTGTTAAAACTGTAAAAGTATGCTTTCTTTTTTAGACATTATTGCTTATACATTGAAGATCACTGTATATGTAATAGTTTTATCGGTCATGAATGGGTTAACCATTCATGAACAGCTTGCTTTTTGTTGTGATTGGCTACAGCTAAATCACACGGTACAGGTAGCCAGGTACCAGATCACAACAGTAGGCAAGCTGTTTATGAATGGAAAGCCATTGTTTACATTGTTATCATGTGATCGCTATGACCTATCAGAGATTGCATGATACCCGGTTACCAATTACCGGTAACTGTAATCCATTGTGTTTGATAGACACACAGGTCACAGGAGGGGCTGATATGTGCTCCTAACCCACAGCAGGCACAATTACTATATTTACTGTGACAGGTCGGCAAGTGGTTAAAAGAGAAGTAGGGCTTTAGATTTTTTTTTTGCCCCCTATTTATACTTACCTAGGTGGATGCAGCATCATTCCGATGCTGCATCTGTCCCCTGCCAGCTCTAAGGGTGAGAGTTTGGTGATCACATGATCACGGAGTCTGCACAGCCGCTCTGAACAGAGAGCAGGACTGTCAGTCACTGCTGTCTGCTCTACCCCCCCTCAACCCCTCACTGGTGTGCTGGGTTGTGGAGGGGGAGGGAGCAGCTGGGTCAGGCTCTCAGCACTTCACTCAGAGGCTGAGCCACGTGCCACTCCAGACTCTGGGGTGGATCCCAACTTTGAAGTTGGGATCTTTCTCCAGCCTGGACCAACTGAGTAATGCCAGCCAACAGCGGATGTCAGTCCAGATAGCTGAAAACGGGTCACAGGAGTGCAGAACGAACTGCACTCCTGTGATCCACAGGAGACCTACAGCCAAAAAAGCTTTAGCTGTACTTCTCCTTTAAACAAAATACCTGAATTAGAGAAAAAAAAACTTACTCCAACACCAAAGCTGGTCAACAAAAACATTTTAAGTTAAACAATTTAAGTTATCTAGTGTAGTTTTTCGTTATGAGCAGTGAATTGTTAGAGTGAACAAAAAAAAAAAAAAAAAAATACCATCTCGGGTCAAATCCTCATACCCTGGAGCATGGACTAGCATACCTAACCCTTGTGAAAAAAAACAAAAACAAAAAAAACAAAACCAATTAACAGATGAAGATTTCAGTAAGACACTCTTAATACTTGACTGCAAGGAGAGGGAAATCTATTTCAAGGAAACCATCTAAAAGAAAAGTAATCTCTAAAAGAGACAGAAGTATTAATAACTAGAGTTCCCTGGAAGGATAGGTGATGAGTTACAACTATGTAAAATGAATAACCTGCCTGACTATTACATATATATGATTACAGTGATTTGAATTCTTGGTCTTCTAACGGGACAAATCCACTGTAGAGGAGCCGAGGTAAGGAATACACTATCAAGCACTGGAATATATGAGAACGATAACACCTTAGATTGTACGCCCCTTGAGGGTTAGGGACTGATGTGAATGTACAATATATATGTAAAGTGCTGCGTATATTGATGGTGCTATATAAGTACCTGAAATAAATAAACAGAATAGGACTTACCCAAGCGGGGAAAAAAATTGCACAGACGGAAAACAAGAATGATTTGTCTGTGGACACTCAAAAAAGATACAGATTATTAGTGATGGGTGCTTCCTTACAAAGATTCAGGGGTACATATACAAGAAGGCCCTTCACGGTTTACTTTTGAATATCAAATTTTTTTAACAGTTCAAGAATTGTAAGGAACAGAAGAATGGCACAAGAAGCAACAGAGATTCCTTGAAATAGGGACTAGGAAGGATCAGTTTCACCAAGGGAGAGTCTACCATAGACACCTCTTCGCACAAATGCCAGAAAAAGGAGTGAAATCCTCTTAGATTGTAAGCTCCAAGGAGCAGGACCCTCCTAACCCTCTTGTATTGAACTGTATTGTCTCCCTTTATCAATATAAAGCGCTGAGCAAACTGTTGGTGCTATATAAATCCTGTATACTAATAATAAATATACTAGATCTGAAATTGTAAAGTGGAGCTACAAGGGAAAACCTCAGCATAAAAAAGTGGCTGAAAAGGAAATCTTTCAAAAGGTAAGAATATCATCGACCCATTTGGTGGTACATTCATTAAAAAAAAAGCTCCTTGACATTGTCAGGAGGGAGCCATGACTCTACTGACTTTTTTCAGCGTTCATGAAAGGAAGGTATTATAAACAAAATGTAATGGGAAGGGTCTTGGAAGTCATAGCTCTAGAAGACCCAATGCCTGGAATAACAGGATTATCCTCTAGTTTCATGGAAGAAAGTACTGCATTAATAGGAGGATCAAGAACCTCTTGCAAAATGGAGATATATGGGACATGCTGAAACAGTCTTCTGAAGGCTCTGAATGTGAGATGGTCATAGGGGCCTCAGGAACACTTAGAGGTAGAGGCACAGCAGTGAATTCTATTGCAGAGTGTGCACATAACTCTTGCGAGCAAATTGCTGCATTAATTGTACAGACTGAAAAAATCCAAAGTGTACATTAAAAAAAACTTGTGGAACTATGTGAGGTTTCAGACTTGCACCAGAGCTGTACAAGAATCCAGAGGAAAAGACCATATAAAAATAGGGGTTCCATGATCTGTGTTGCAGGTGTCAGTCCATTCTGGGAA